GACATCACTCTGTTCTTGGTACTCTTGATATTCACTAACATATTCTGCCGGTAGTATTGATATCACTCCGATTTGATGCTTGTCCCAAGTACCCTCATTCTTATCATCGAAGAATTCTCTTGCATATTGACTCTCCATCGGTACAATATTCTCTTCAAAGTTTCTATAATTATTCCAATAAGGGATCCTTCCTCCTCTTCTCCAGGGCCTTCCTCGGAATCTCCTTTGGAATGTTGGAAATCCAGTGTTCGATCTTTCATCGTATGACAATCTCTCAAAGACATCATTGCTCTGAAGTCTGCCTCTTCCTCCTCGAGAAGGATACATCTCTCTTCTGACCCATTGCCTTTGATTTCCGCTAACACCAGAACCAACGGATTTCTGTTGACTTTCTTCGATCATTGGTCGGGCCGTTTGATCCACTTTGTCGTTTTTCCTTTTACTCTGACTCTCGATCTTCTTTATCTGTTCTAACTTGAAAGCTTTAGCAGCCGATTTATCGAACACCGCACTGCATCGTGGGCATAGCGACACATCTTCGTCTCTTTCTTTCTTTCTATTCAAAAACTCAATTAGGGAATCCCCTGATCGAGGGTAGATCTCCTTTTCGAACTCCTTCTCGAATTCACTCAGATCGAATTCCATATCTTCTTCAAACACGTCCATTCTAACATGTTTAGGATCAATGTCTTCAGTAACATCGACCATGCCTACAAAGGTAGAATTCGTCATTCGGACATCCTCAGTCATGCCCGTTTGGGATTCGATGTATCCCACTTGCACTTCGAATGGACTCGTGTCCACTTTCATCGACATTTCTTCGAATTTCAGTCTTCCTTGGTCAATCGCATATTGGATCGTATTCCTGAAATGTATGCAATTGTTAGTCCAATGTCCAAAAACATTATGAAATTTACAATATTTTCGACCATTCCTTTGTTCTGCCGAAGGCAATTTATGCTCTTCACCCAACTTAATTTGTTTATCTTTTAGTAAGATATCGAAAATTTTATCAGCCTTTGTCACATCGAAAGTATATGTTCGATTTGTCATCTTATCTTTTACTTCATTCTTTTGTAGCAGTTTACAAATATATGGAGTTCCTACTTTGAGCTCTGCTATATTTACTTTCTCATCGATAGTCTCTTCTACATCATTCTCTGTCGTGGGATCTGTTTCATACACATCATTTATATATGCTATTCTTTCTTTTTTCAAGGGTTTCTCAAATTTCCTATATCTTTGTTTTTCATACTCAATTTGTTCTACTCTTCTCACTTTATCAGCTAACTGAGCCATGTCATTTAATGGTAAATTGACTAACTTTTTCCTAATCGAGAATTCTAAACCTGCAGAGGCCATTCTGACTAATTCATATTCAGGAATTTGAGTAAAGCATCTCGATTTCATTTGTCTAAATCGATTCAAATAATCATCTATGCTTTCAAGACTGTATCTCTTTATATTCATCAAGTCGATGAGACTTACTTGAGTTTCTCCTCTAAAGAATTGCTCATGAAAATTTCTTTCCAGTTGCAGCCAATTATATATCGAATTGGGTGGCAACGAAGTGAACCAAGTAAAAGCATTTTTAGTCAAAGAACTAGGGAAATATTTCATTCTTAATTCTTCACTCATCGCGAGATCTCCACATTCGATCTGATATCGAGCTACATGTTCGATAGTTGATTCACCAACTTCTCCAAGCAAATTTGGTGAATTTAGGTACTTTGTATCCTCGAGGTAATTCCGTCTCGAGAATCGTGTTTGGAAAAGGAGACACAAAGTATGTTTGGTTGGGTGGTCTAAATTCTATCCCTTGGAAATTCATCCTTTGTCCTAACATGTGATTATTTTGCATGTTATTTTGATTATACATATTTTGGAATCCCTCATTCATATTTCCATAAATATCGTTTCTTCCATGTTGGTATTCATTCCCCATTTGTTGATCATTGTTTCGATTTCTCCTTAAAAGATATGGGGGATTGATATTAGTATTCCGATTAGCATGATTTTCTACCCTCGTTTGTCGAGGTACAGCCAATGCATCCCCGATTCGTGACATTTGATCTCGCTAATATCTCAAAACTAGCGGTAGTGTTTTGAACTAATGGATTTAGGACTGTAGTCAACTGTTGTGATAACATATTCACCATCTCAAAATTACTCTCATCCATTTGTTGTCTAAGTATTCCTAAGGAGTTACTAGATATTCCAGTACCAGTATTTTCGATAGTATCAAAATTAGATCGATGATAATCCCTATCGAATGCATATCTCCCATGATCTACGTTTCCTCTATGATCTAGATTTGGAGGTATTTGCTGCATTCCTACATTCTGCACACTCCCTGAGTTCTGGGGAATTACTAAATTTTGAGATGTTCCTAGGTTTGGAGATGCTCCAAAATTCTGTGGCATACCTAAGGTTTGGAATGTTCCTAAGTTATATCTCGAATTTCGTTGCATCGAAGAAGTACCAACCCCATTCATGTTCAGCGAAAACCCAGGTGGTCTTATACTCATATACGGCCCAACATTTGTTGTTATAGGGTTTCCCATAGTTGGCATACTGTTTAGTGCCACCGTGCTAGATCCTACTTGGGTATTTGCTAAAGTGCCTGAATTTTGTTCATTACTCACGGGTATCGACATACTTACAGTTGTCGATACTACAGGTGTATTCCCATTATGACTTTGCCCCCCAGTATTTGGTGGGTGTGACCCATTTAATCCCTCAGTGTTACTCTGGTTACTTGATGAACTCTGACTCATGACTCTCCCACTCCTTAATCTCATACACTCTCGAACTAACCAATTTTGTGTTTTCTCAACACAAAAAGTCCCCTACCTGGCGCGCCAATTTGTTTCTGGTGGAATTTCGATTGAAAAGGTGATTTGGTCCTAATCAAAATCCTCCCACGTAAGTTCTTTTTACTTAGGCTAGCAGTCTGACTTTCAATCGAAAACGTGTATGAGAATCGAAAGTCACAGAATATCGAAAATGCTATTTTTTATATTTAAAATACCAAACACAGTAAAAATATCGAATCGAGAAACAGAATATTAAATTGCAAGGAAATGTAAAGTGTGAAAACCCCAAATTTGCATTAATTGTAAATGACAGGAAATCGAAAACAGCGCAAATATAAATGACAGGAAATCGAGATTTGCAGAATGTTAAATAACAGGAAATCGAGATTTGCAGAATGTTAAACGACAGGAAATCGAGATTTGCAGAATGTTAAATGACAGGAAATCGTAAATACAGAAACTTAAACTTTCATTGAATTGAAATGACAAGGAATCGAAAAGACAGAAACTTAAACTTGCTGAATTTAAGTTGCATCAAAGTAAATTACCAAGGAAAATACAGAAAGCGGTAAATGTACTCAGTGAGCAAGGAAATCCAAATTGTCAGAAGCTTCATGGTGTTCGTCGTTTCTCCGGTGGACTTTTCACTACTGATTCTGTTCTCTGTCAATTTCTGCTCCCTTGTTCCTTCCTCCTTTGCTCTATTTATAGGGTATCGTTCAAGTCTTCCAAGAGCAGTTAACACGACTACTACCACGTTCTACGTACGTATGGCAGTTCATCTTCTATAGTTTCCCACGTTCTCACGATCTCCGACTTTTTTCCATAGTTTCGAAACCGCTCTCTATACGTGCAATTGACTTACTTCCTTTCGCGATTTGGCCAAAGTCTCGATGTCCACATTGGCTTTCTTTACTCTCGATTTTGTATTTTTTGAGAACTTAAAATTGCTTACGATTCATTTTTAATCTTGGTCTCATATGACTTAGTCTTTATTCGACAACAGGCATTTGGTTATCATTCACTCGATTCTCGATTGTGCTTCTCGACGCTATATGCTATATATGTACTTCTAATTTAGGCATCGAATGAATTTTTGTTTATCTTATCGAGTCACATTTCTTTCCTTCATTTTCGATCAATTTGTTTCTCGATTTGCCACTAACAACTATATAATTTTATTTAATTTGAGCATAAAGCTATTTCTAAAAACTGATTCCCGCAAAACAAGAATCATATGTTTGTACCATGTGTTATCCTTGATCCAATGTTTAAATATGTCTGGATTAATGACACAGAACTCACATCGATGTTCTCTTTATGTTTCATTTATTCCACAGAAGTTGACATTTTTCATCGTATCCTTTCCTTTATAATCTTCTCTATTAATTTGTCTAACTATATAAAGAATTAATCGTAATTAGAAAAACTATCAAACAATATAATTGACTTGTACACGCAATATATCTATTAAATTTAGCTAACTCTAAAATCTATTATCTACGTCCTAACACTCATCCCATGGTAATTGCAGAGTCACTTTATTTCTATACGTTACAAAAATTCAAATTCTAGCTTCACATAATCATAATAGAAGAGCATATAGAATAATTTGATGATTAAGTTGTAGAACCATGTTGTTGATGTAATTAGAAATTATATTTTGTTATAATGTATTTAAATCACACAAGAATAAAGCTATTCTTTTACCATTCTATATTTAGCTTTTAAATAACTCCCATATTATAAACAACCTTTTATGAATTTTGAAAAGAACTAGAAAAAAAAGCTCCTAACTAAATCGTGATTGACAAGAAACATTCTTAACATCTCAAGAAGAAAGCATGAATATATCCCATAAAAAAACACTATCCATGTTTTTGGTTACACACTAGTAGAACTAGTTAATAATCAAAAAAATTATTACAACACGCAACAAGCAAAAAAAAAAAAAAAAAAGGCAAAAGCATAAACATAAACCCAAAAAGAGTTCTGAAAATGAACTGCTTTGTTTTTAAATTAAAAAGACAAAACCATCTAAAATTATTGTTTCTTACTATGTTTCATCTTCTTTGTCCAGCCCCAGTCTAGAAAAAACTCATGTTTGAAATAAGTTTCGCAACTAAAATATCAAAACTCAATAATCAAGTGCACACCGATAGCTGATTTCTTATAGGTTTACTTTTAATCCTCCTCCATGGAAGGAGGTTGATTCAGGTCAAGATCAAAATTCACTGGGCTACGCAATAAGCCATGAACTTTCACTGGAGGAGATGTCTCCACTTCATCTTCTCCTGTGGTTGATGGTCCTGCTTCATGTTTTCCTGTGTAAGGCTTAGCTTCAACTTTCTCAACAGCATCAGGCTCCACCGCTTTATTCTTCTTCTTCTGATCTCCAGCATGAGGCACAACTTCAACCTTCTCAGCAGCATCAGCCTCCACTTCTTCATTCTTCTTCTCTGGAGCCACAGCATAACGGTTAACTTCCATTTTGTCAGAAGCATCAGCATCAGCATCCACTTCTTCTTCATCAGCAGAAGACTCTCCTTCATTCTTCTCAGCAGGCATAGCAGAAGTCTTGGATTCCACTTCACTATCAGAAAAATGGTCGGATTCTTTGTTAAATTCGCAATTAAGCTCCAGTTCAATTACAACGGCGGAAGCAGGAAGTGCCACTTCTGTGTTCTCAACAGTAGAAGGCACCCCTTCAATTTTCTTTATTGCAGAAGGCTCTACTTCGTTGTTTTCTGCAGAATCAGTCTCCACTTGTGTTTTCTCTTCAACATCAGTGATAGGGTTCACTGTTCCTTCTCCTTGGTTTGTATCCATCTCCGAAAGCACTCCATGAGGAATGCCCTTGTCTTCTCCAGGCTTCACATCATCAGGGTTCTCCATGTCACCAGTCTCCAATTTTTCTTTTCCTTTATCACTTTTTGAGTCGACCACTCCTTCATGGTTTAGGTCAAAATCGGAAAGTCCTCCATGAAGCATGCCCTTCTCCCCTTCAAGCTTCACTTCAATGTTGTCTTCAGCAACAGCTTCCACATTTTCTTTGAATACATCATCATAACGATAACGATAGTCATCCATTTCTTCTTCTGGGCCATGGTTTAGGTCCAGCAACATCCCCCCATGAGGCATGTCGTTGTCACCTTCCCCTTTAAAGCACATAGTATATAATCATCTATATGTAAATAAATACCCATCCAATATTTTCTCAATCAACAAATTAAATTAGCACAAAAAAAAAAAAGTAAAGAAAAAGTGCTAACAACACAGTCACATTGAATAATGACAAGTGAAATCTATAGAATTTAATAATTTTCAACAAAAGTCAGCAAAAAATAACCAGTCTCAAAAGGTGTACTTCGGAATGTATATCTAACATTCCTCACCCTGTATCTTTCTAAATCTAATGTAACTGTGACCCGTTGAATAACAATAACCGAGATCTACAAAATTTCATAACCTCTATCAAAATTCAGCCAAAAAATAACAAGTATTTAAAAGGGTGTATACTTCATAGTGTATGTATTATCAGCATTTCTCAGAAAATCAACTAAGCGTTACAAAATGGTATTAGATCAATAAATTCATACATATAACATATATATGTATACTATTTGAATTTTGTTGTTACCTTGAGGCACCATATCAGCATTCTGTTCAACAGTTGGGGATGAAACAGGAGGAGGAGAGTAGACACGCTGAGGATCGATCTCTGATGAAGCCTTCCTCTTGTGACCAACCAAAGCCAAGGGCTTGGGATCGACTGAACCCGTTTCAGTAACGTCATCACCGTCACCCTTAAGCTCCACCGGTTTTGAGGAACAAGCAAATCCCTCTTCTCCACCTTGAATTGGAGTTGCAGCAGTGGACATGGTGGTGGTGGTTCCGATCTTCACCGGCTCAGAGTTCTGCATGGTCAAGGAACTGAAAATGAGAGCGATATTAAACTGCCAAAACTCAGAGAAAACAAACACAGCAGAATAATAGCTTAATGTTGTGGTAGGGTTCTTGCATTGGACAAGCCTCTTATAGAGAGGCTACGTACAAGTACGAGGTTGACACAATGGTTAGGTGGCGAAGATTGTATGAACGAAACGGCGCCGCATTCCACGCTCTCTTTTTTTTTTTTTTAATTAGTTTTATAAATACTTTTTTTTTACATTCTTTTTAAATACTTTCAAGATATAAAAACTGGGAAATTCTGGCTAAATTTACTTAAAATGAATCTCTTTATTCTGAGAAACTTTCTAAGGCGTGTTTGGTTTTTCAGATTACTAAACGCCAATTTTACTATCACACTTTCTAGGCAAAAAAAAAAAGTTAAATAACTTGATGTACAAATTTGAACTCAACATTTTTCAAAACACACTTCAAGCTTTTAAGGAAAAAAGCAGAAGAAAAAAGGTGATATATATATATATATATATATATATATATATATATATATATTTTAAACGTTTTTCTGTTTTCTTTAAAGTCTAGTTTTTTTTGTTCATTGTATATGCTCAGTGCCAGCTATAAAAGAATAAATGTATAATGTATATAAAAGTATATATATATATATATATATATATATATATATATATATATATATATATTAAATCATTTTTTTATATCTTTTTTTTTCTCTGTCATTTATCTGTTTTTCCTTTTTCTCACTAATGTATTTTAGAAGTCGTATTTTTCGTAAATAAATATATAGGATTTCTTTAAGACATAATTAAAGATAATCCATTTTTATATCTTGAATATTTAAGAAATTATTATTTTATCTTTTATTTTTATTTTATTTTTTGAGATTCAGCATCGGTAAAAAGTCAAAGGAAACAAATTGGTGAAATTCAAATTTCGAAGACGCGCTCAAATATATCTGTCGAAAAATATTGAAATATTTTTCAACTTTAACGGATGTGTAATAAATTAAATTATAAATGCTACTTCCAAACTCTCTCATGTTAACTGGAATTTTAGTCTTTTATAATAAATTTTAAATTAATTAATGTTCTTAACTTTCAATAAAGTATCATTTTTTTTGTCTTAATCTATTATCAAATTTTTTTTCTCAATTAAAACTTGAGAAAACAAATTATTTAATCAACTAAACACGTACTTAATAAATGGTGGTTATAGTCTGACCAAGATTGCACAAATCATTTTAATTGTAGTTTAAAGCTTATTTGCATATACTAACAATAATATGTGTCTTTTTTTTTTAATCAAGCATTACTTTTATTAAAAGAAAAATAAATTTAAAATAAAAAAAATAATTGAGAACAACGATAATTTTAGAATTATTATTAAAAATTAAAATTTTGATTGGAATGGAACGAGTGATGTTAAATACTTTCAATTTTAAATTAATACAAAATTATCAGCAGTGTTTATTATTTAATTCAGGTTAATTTATCAAATTTTTTATTTTTTGTTCTCTTGTAAATTAAAAATTATTATTTAGTTCTCGAATTTTAGAAAATATTTTTTATCTCTCATCATTAATAACTTTGCCCAGCTAGCAAGAATGATGACATTCATATAATATGTATAATAAAAATAATAAAAAATAAATTATTTAATTTTTTATTTAAATATTTTTCTAGTCCTTTTAAGTGAGACCAAATTTGAACTTAATTCCTTAAATTTAAAAATGACAGGCTTACTCCCTCAATTTTTAAATTAAATTTTTAGTTTTATAAAAGTGGTTTTATTAATCAGAGTTAAAAAGTATTTGTTTTTCATCTAAATTTAAAAGTTAAGTTATCAATTGTCTCAATTATAAAAAGTCATATTCAATTCTTCATAGTTCTTAAGTTGAAAAAGTTGCATCTTAATTAGTGATAATAACTAAACCCCTAACCATTGATATTGAAATTAAGGTTCTAATTGTCTCATAATAGAAGTTAACCTCCTCATAATTTATCCAATGAACTATTTTTGTTAGTTTTTATTAACTTAAACATAATTTTTTTTTAGTTTTCTACTTTGAAAATGACTCGTTTTAATTCACAAAGTTCCCATTGTTAGAAAGTTTACTCAAAATTTTAGAAATAAAATTAATGACCATGAACTTTTATAATTTAAATTTATAAAATAATATTTTAAGATAAATTTTCTCATTAATTTTAAAATTCTAAAATTTAGAAATGTATAATAAATATTATATTTAAAAATTTGATTAAAGCAAAATAAAATATTATATTCACACGTTTTGGTAATCGTGAATAATACAAGCGAACTGAAATCTCATACAGTAAAAAAAAATTTAGAAGTTGATAATTTATGAAAACAAATCATAATCTCGAAGATAAAATTATATTCTCTTGTGATTTATGATATGAATAAGAATATCCTTGTATTAACTCCCCTCAAAATAATAAAGTGTAGTATTCTCATTAAAAAGAAAGTAAAAAGTATTCATAATTAAGAATTTTGCTTGATGTAGAAGAAAATTGCGCCTAAGGTGGCAAATATTTAAAAATCTAAATATGAAATAAATTTTATGTTGATTAAAAATAAATAATTTATAATGAAAAAGACCCATAATTTAATAATTTAGGATATTTTTAATAAGAATTACTCACATAAAAATATAATCATGTTACATTATTTTTATTTTTAAGCAATTCATTGTTCATTTTATTTTATTAGAAGTTTTTTTAATAAATTTTAAAAAATTATTTATTTCTCCTCAATTATATTTGTTTATTTTTTAAGTTCCTATAACTGTTAAAAAGAAAAAACACTTGTCATTTCAAGTAGATTCTCTAATCAAAATTACTTCAAATCATTAATATTTTTGAAACAATTAATATTTTATTTAAGTATATGAATAATGAATTCCCATTAAATATACTCTTAAAATTTTAGATTAAAAATAATTTTATATTTTCTTATTCATGATTGATTTTATAATCTCATTTATATGAAATTTAGTTTCACTCATAAATAGCCAATATAAACTAACTTATAATAATATAACTAAGGACATAATAGATAAAAATGTTAGACAAATGACATCTAGAAGGGTGAATAGATGCACAAATTAAAATAGATGTAAAATTAAAAATTTATTTGTGAGTCAATAATTTGTTTGAACACAGATAAAGCGGAAGCGATAATATAATCACGAAAAGAGAAAGAGATAAGGGAAAGAGAAGAGTACACAGTCATTTATACTGGTTCGGGTATAGTCAACCCTACATCCAGTTCTCAGTCAACTCTTAACACAAGAGTGACTCCCAATTCACTATCTTTCAAATTCAGTTTACAAATTATAATCAACTCAGCAAAAGAACCAGTAAAAAGTAAACTAACTAAAAAGATAATCACCTCCTTAGAAACTCACTCAGGATGAACATTTCCCTAGAATCTCACTAGGGATGAACACCTCCTTTGAAAAAATCAAAAGACGAAAAACACCTCCTTAGAATCCCGCTAAGGATGAACACCTCCCTAGAATCACAATAGGGATGAAAACCTCATTTGAACAAATCAAAGGATAAAAACACATCCTTAAAATCTCACTAAGGATTAACACCTCCCTAGAATCACACTAGGGATGAAAAACACCTCATTTTCCACCAATACAAAAAGGATGAAGGTAATAAAAATAAGAACAGTCACACCTAAGTAGTGGAGACAACAAATTGTAGAAGCCTATAGAATGTCAATCTCCAAGAACAAGTGTGATTAACTATGAGAGTACAAAAGGCAGTAGAGAAAGAGGGTTTTCTCAGAAGGTGTAAAATATTTCTGTTGTCTTGCTCAAAATTCTTTTCTCAAAACTGATTCAATGTAAATTGTATTTTCGAATTTTGTAATTGTGTTTTTGATTTTTTATCAAAACTTAATTAAATAGAAAAATAGCATCAAAAAATGGTCGTTGAATATTAATATTTTTGTGAATAAAAATCGGGATATATTCAAAAATATATATTCTTCAAAACAAATATATTTTTCAAATTTGAATTGTCATAATTGATTATGTTACCAAGTATAATCAATTATGACGAGAAATTCATTTTTCCATTTCTGATGCATCATTTGATTATGAGAGTGAAAAATATCACGTTATGAATTTTATCACACTTGTGTTTTTGAGGCTTATGCATAATATTACTTTTGTACCTCCATATCCAGTATTTTAAGACTCTATCTAATCTTCAGGAATCATCTTGGGCTTGCTTGAATCATCATCTTTATCAAAAACATATATTGTGCATGTAGGAAAATGTTTCACATTTTCACCAACGTCTTAAATTCAGCTTGTCCTTAATTCATCATGAATGGTATTGACTTGAATGTATTGACTTGAATCATTATCAAAATCATCTCTTAGAAATGTAGGGACATTTTCATAAATCTCTCATTTAAAAAAAAGAGAAAAACAACGAATTAAAAAAAAAGGATAATGAAAAGAAAAGAAAAAGTAAATTACGCTATAAACTACTATAAATCAATATTTAAAATTAAATATTATACATCAACAAACTTTTCAATCACATCCATTTTCAAAACTCTAAAACGAATTATTTTTATATTAAAAACAAAGAAAATCGCTTTTAAGTTTTGGAACTAAACAAGTTATTTTAAATTTAGAAAATTAAATTTATGTTTAAATTTAAGAGATTGAAGAAGCTTTTAAAAGAAAAGAAAAAAACAGTTAAAGTTAAAAAGCTAAAATAAAACTTGACTCAAATTTATGAGATTTGAAAGACATTTTTAATGAAAAGTATTAAAAATAAATTTTCATATTTCTCTTAATTACATATTTCATTACTGACATATTTGTCACATTACTAACAAATGTGATGTAATTGTTAACTAGGGATATAGAACAACATATTTCAAATTTAGAGTTAAAAAATCAATTCAATTAAAATGATTAAAAGAGCTATATGTAAGGTTTAAAAATAAT